AGGCCAAGAGACCCAGTTTTCTCCTTGCTTTTCCTCAGCATTTTGCAGTTTTCTCCAGCGTGGGGGGTGGGGTGGGGTGGAGAGGAGACAGTTCACCGAATGTACAGCGTGCCATCGAAGAGGGATATGTAAGCAAGAGGTCACACTATGACCGAGCCTTAGCGTCAGCTCTCACGGGGCATCCTCTCCAGCCGTTTCAGACAGCCAATGACGGAGGAAGGGTTTCAGGTCGAACAGGAACGGGCTGATTCAGCCAGGGAGCACACCTCAGGACAAGGAGCACGCTGTGTTAGCGAGAACGCTTCAGTCCTCAGAGTGGACAGAAGGGACCTTCTTCTAAGGCCCAGCCTCCTAGCTCAGCCAGAGAAGTCCATTTCAGTGCGGCCAATGCTCCACACTGACTGTAAGCCCACGATCAAGTCCTGAACTCCCGACGTGCCCGCTCAATTCCGCCCAGCCTGGCCTGGGGCAGCCCAGTCCCCAGAGAGCAGACTCTCAGAATGAAGCCAAAGACACACGGGGCTCTGGGCCCACACGCTGTACACTGTTTATTGGGACACCCGTAGACAGTGGGAGGGAAGGATGCCTGTACCGCATTGTGGCGCCCTGGTGGCAGCCTGCTAGGGCGCACTGACAGAGCTGGAGGCTAGATGTCCGGGACTCACTGACCATCTCACAGGTGGGAGGAGCGAGCGAGGACCAGGCGAAGAGCCTGGTAACCGTGCGGCACATGGGGAACGGCTGGCCCTTGCCTTTCAAAAACAGAGGGTTCGGGGAGGGGACAACCAGGGGGAAAAATAGAAACTCTTAAGATTAAAAAAAAAAAAGGTCTCCTGTACATATCAAGGCAGCATGTGCTCTCGAGGGCCCGAGACTGGCTGCAGGGGGCCTCTGGGAAAGAGCTGTGGCTTGGCTGAGATAGTCACCAGCACCCAGCAAAACCTCCATGCTCGGGCAGGGCAGGAAAGCCCCGGCCCCTTGGGAATATACAAATATTTACCAGATTCTCTTTGCTCGGTACAATAAAAAACCGAATAGGAAAGCTTACAGCAGATTATTTACAAACGGTATCCTGGGACATTGTGATGGCAGAGGTGGTCTGGCTTGGAGGGTGGGGACAGTGGGGGCAGAGCAGCCACGGGAGCCCACAGGGTCATAGGCTTGCCCCCCACCCCTGCCAAGGCTCCAGGTTCTGCAAGGCACTGGATGCTGCTGCTCAGCAAAGGGGTTAATTCTTCTTGTGGAGGAATTTCATTTTGTTGCCTGTGGGCCAGAGAGGACCAGAATGAGACTGTCAGGGCCAGCAGCTCCTGCGGCCTCTATCCCGTCTTCCCGCAGCTGGAACTCGCTCAGTAGGGAAGCGAGGCTGGGGACGATGGTTGCAGGTGTGACAAAGCAGGTCCTAGCACACTAGAGCTCCCCCAGGCACGGTAAGGCTTGGGCCACGCCACTTAACCCCGGTGTCAATTCCCCCTGAAACTCGGACGGTGGGCTTGCTGGCTGAGCTCTGTGGAGAGGTGGACCACGGAGGGAAGGTGCCAGCCAGGGCAGCTTGGACAGGACACACTCATAGGCTCCCTCAGGAAAGTGTGCGCCCAAACACCTTAGTGGGCCTCTGGTCTCTGTTGGGCCTGCAGTTTGGTAAATCCTGTGTGCATCATCCTTGGGCCCCTGGTCTAGAAACTCTGTGGTCACCAAGGGACCTCTTCCTGCGCTGCCCACCGCCCCACCCCGCTACAGACACCCGCTGGCATCCAGTCAGAGGTCACCCAGCTGAACTTCTCTTGGGAAGCATGGACTATCTCTCAGTAGCAAGGCGACTCACCCAAGCCTCGGAGAAACTTATTCATGCCACTCTGCTCCGTGTCTGGGAGTTCCTCTAGATACTGCTCCACTCGCTGCTCAAACAGACCTGGGCAGAAGCAGGAGAAGGGTCAGCAGCATGGAATAGAACTACACTGGAAAAAGGCAAGGGGAGACGACTGCAGTGAAGGGGCCCGTGGGCACAAGAGGGAGAAACCAAGGATCTGGGATCACGATCTGAAGGAGCATCCAAACTGTCACTGGTGCCCTCCCACTGGTTTCTACTGAGGACAGCCAGATTCTCCTGGGTACCCTGTCTCCCGGCGCACACCACTGAGCCACATCACCACGCTCGATTCCAGAGCTGCCCTCACATCCTCGCCTTGCTGCTCCCTCTAGACCACTGCCCCACGCTGCCCGGAAAAGGGCTGCTGCACGAACTGAAGGCTTGAGAGAGAAATCCTCAGGACCGCCTGACGTCACATGCGGCCTCACCCAGGAGCAGCAGTTCCAGCCACCCCACTGGACTGAGTTAGCTCTTTGACCAGCAGGGGCTGCGAGTGATGTCTTGCCTATGCCAATGGCCCTTGGCAGACGGAAGGTCCCCCACCCCCCCACCGCTGCACTAAATGGACAGTCTCGGTGGAATGAACAAGCCAACACCCAGAGGAGAGGGCTTAGGGGAATGAAAAAGGCCCTGGAGTAAAGCTGATGACTATAGAGGAGATGCCCCTCGGCCCTGAGCGGAGACAGCTAGCCCTGTCTCCTGTCAGGCCCCGTCCTGGGTTCTGAGAACCCCCTCAATGGCTCAGCCTGGTGTCCTCCTCTGAGGAGGGGATGTTGGTGTCGGGGTCACGCACTGGTCTGCTAACCAGTGCAGGCTGCGGGTCAAAGCCTCCAGCCAGTCTGCAGGAGAAGGGCCAGGCTTTCTGCTCCCGTGAAGAGTTCCCGTCTCAGGGATGGCCCTGAGATGTTTAGAAAGAGGAGGGGAGAGGCAAGCGCCGTTGGAAGTTTCTATCTGAAGACAAAGTGTGAGGAGTTTCCCCCCACAGCCCCTCAGTCCTGCTCACAGCAAAACCCTGGGAGAAGAGCCCCAGTAGCCCCCGGCCTTACCCTTGGCCCGGCACTTTCGGAGCTCCCTGTCTTGGATGAAGCCAGCAAACATCTGGGATTCCATAAAAACCTCCAGGAAGCGGCGGATGCTCTTGGAAGCCACAGACTTGCGGAAGGCCTCTCGCTGGAAGGCCCTCTCCCCCTTCTCTGTCTGTGTCAGAAAGAGGGAGTAGTGCCCAATGGTCTCCACAAAGAAGCGGATGAACACCTCAGACACCAGCCCGCTGAGGGTGTTACATTCTGGAAGGGAAGAGGACGTTGTTGAGGTTCAGGGCAAGAATCAGCAGGTCTTCCTCAGCCTGCAACTGCTGTCTCTCTCTTCTCCACAAAACTTCCTGCCAAGTTTTGTTCTCGAAACTTCATCTCTATTGTTTACAGGCTCGTCACTAGCCCAGACGCTCCCTGGTGCCAAATCTCCCAACGTGGACACGGGTCACTATTTCAGAGTGAAGAGAGTCTGGGAGGGACCAAGGTGGGTCAATGAGAGTGGAAATCAGAGGTCCAGAGAACCACTGCCCACACCGTACGTGGTCTCCCTGGCCTCACAGGAAGAGGATGTTCCCTCCATCCTGCAGTGGCGGAGGCCAGGCCTAAGAGGCAGGATAAATGGTCTGTCACCACGACGACTGACTTAGTTTACTGTGCCAACCTGGCCAATAAACACATGTGGGATTAATTGAAGGGCGGAGGGATAAATGGCTCAGTGAACCTCGCCTTTCTAGTTCTCGGGTCTCTTGCTTTGTGATGGTCGCACCAGGGTGCAGCTGCCTTAGCAGTTCTCTGCTTCAGCTGGCAAGGATGATTTCCTGCAAGACATCCCTGAGGAGAAGCCACATGGACCTACCCCGATGCAACCCTGGGTGCTGGAGCAGCCATGTGGAGACCCCTGCCAGTGCTGAGATGCTTACACATTCAGACTCGGCTGTCCTCCTGCAGTCGGCATCATAGTGTGTGTTTTGTGAGATGGAGGAGGACTTTGTGGATTGGTGTTGGACATATGGGTTAATGGGTTAATGTTGGACTTGTGGGCTTGGGCAGCATTGGGTTGGGGTGTTTTCTTGATGCACATTTTCTTTACATAAAACTCTCTCTTAAACACGAGTTTCTGTGGACTTGTTTCTCTAAAGTACCCATACTAAAACAAAGACTATCTGTGGTTGGCACCTGCACTGGGGTTTTCCCTCCTCAGACTCCTGGTTTCAATGGGAAGGGGCCACCTTTGAAGCCTCAGCCACCCCAGAAGCAGCCCCAACCTTGTTCACATTTCTGAACAAACTCTGAGTAAATACAAGTCTCTCCCCTCGAACCCCGTCAAGGCCTAGCTCTCTGAGCCCATGAGTGGGACTAGGAAATTCTAGGTTGGAGTGAAACTATGGGCCAATCGTGAAACCTCATGGGCCAAGAAGGGCCTGGTGCACAGAAGCAGGGTCCACTCGAGGTCCAGGCCCAGCCATCGAGGGCAGAGGGGGCTCCGTGTGCTCTGCTCACCATCATCGGAATCACTGTCAGAGTCCTGGGAGATCAGTTCGTTCTTCCTCTCCAGAGCCTGCTCCAGAGCCGCCTGTAGCTTCCGAGGCAACAGTGTGTCTTCATCATCCATCTGCAGAAGGACAAGAACAGAGGGGCTGCCCTCGCCATCGGTAGCAGTCGATGTTTACTGAGCACTTCTGTGTGCTGGGCCCAGTTCTAACAAAGAGCTTACCTGTGTCCTCTCATCTAACTCTCCAAGAGCCCTATGAAATAGACGTGTCAATCAAATGCGTTTTGAAGAACTGAGACTCAAAAGGGTTAAGAAACTTGGCCAAGTGGTGGAACTGGGGGCAATCACTAGAACCAGCCCCTTTTGGCGAGGCGTAGGCGTGGGTAGCCAGGGTTCCTGATGAAGTCTGCCCAGCTCTGGGTGGGAAGCAGAGTTGGCTCAGGGCAGGGAGCTTGTCTTCCATCCAGGGAGATCTGGAAGGATTCTATAGAGCATCAATTTTGCCAACAGAAGCGGTAGCCAAAGCCTCAATTAGCATCCCATCCTGGGCTGGAAGCAAGGATGCCCAGGGTGTGTGGTCTAACCAGCACAGCTCTCCCACGAAGCCTCTGCACCCAGCTAGCCTCAGGTCTCGACATTCTGGCTCAGCATCTACTCCTTGATACCTGGTACCAAGGAATCCGTCACCCTGTCCGTGGTGTGTCACAGATGCCCATGCAGTGCACAGGGCACAGAGTTCTCTGTAGAGAGTCAGGGGACTCCCATGAGGAATTGAACCCTTTCCATTCCAAGGAGCTCTGCAGGGCACTCAACTAACACCCTAGGCCGCGTTTCAAGGGAGGTGATCTCCCCTGCCATGGCGATGAGGATACTGACTCAGAGAAGATGGGAGACCCAGACAGGTTCCTGGGGCCCCACGGCGGCCAAGTCCAGACGCTAGGACTCCAGGCCTCCGGGCCACGCTCTTCCCACCCTGACCTGACAATACTACCCACTAGAAAGACAGCTCCTGTTGCGGGCTAGAGGGCTCAGGTCAATTTCTCCCCACCCCACTGTGTTGTGACCCCTAACAGCCAGAGCAAGAGCTCAACCAAGAGGCCTGAGGGGGAGTGGGGCAGGCAGGGCAGGGAGTTCTCCAAAGCCTGAGTCTGACAAGCCCCCACCCTGGCCAGACAGCGTCACTGGTCCTGCGCTTACCTGTCGGATGAATCGGTCCGATCCCAGATTCACCATCAGCGCCTGGGAGGAGTCATCATCATCAGTGATTTGGGGTGCCCTTTGCCAAGCCTCCAGACTACCCCCAGGTTCCCACCGAGAACACCAGTAAGGCCGGGTGGGGGAACAGTTGGGGAGCCCTCCCCCGGGAGAAAGGACGAGCCAGGAAATAGCCAATCCCCACGTCTTCCCCCTCCCCCCTCCCCGCTTCACCCAGTTGCTCTCCAGAGCCCACCTCCTCCACGGGCAGCTCCTTCAGTTTGGGTAGGGAGCTGGAGAGCAGGCCGACCAGGAAGGGGGTGGGACAGCAGACGATATCAATCATGGAAGCCGGAAGGACGGGGATGAAGGTGTGCTGCCAGGAGAAGGGGTAGAGCAGGGCCACCACGGCGTGGGAGCAGCTGGACAGGGTACTGGCGGGAGGACAGACAGGGCACTGAGGGCAGGCCCAGCCACTTCAGGCCAGTGAGGGCTACGCTGTTGGGGGGGTGGCTAGGATTCTCTTCTGAGGCCCAATAGCCAAGCGGGACAGCAATGCTCATGGAGAGCAGGGGCTCCCGGGCCGGAGTCAGACCTGCAGACCTGCACCCACCTTCCGGCCTCCGGGGCACTGGGCCAACCTCTTTAGGCCTCTGCTTAGGGTCAATCTTGGAGGTGTGGAGCAACACTTGAACACGTACGCAGGTACACACACGCACGCACACCCTATCCCTAAGGGCCACCAATGTTCCACAGGTTGACCTCACCTATGCTATGACACAAAGGTTAAGATGAGCATGAGTTGATCCCCAATTCACACATGCTCAGACCTGGAGGGCCCTACAGGAGTCCTCTAAGTGGTTCCTCATTGTACAGCACAGGCCTGGGTGCCCTGGGCCAGCCAGGCTGGTCTTATGCGGCACAGCTGGGACACGGGCGGTTTTCCCGGCTCCTGCAGCCTTCCCCCCCCCTCTCAGTCCAAGTCTCCCTGTCCCAGGAGGGAGGGCACTGAAGTCTCCCAGCAGGGGAGGAGGCTGCCCTCTTCTTACCAGGTCCAAGGTGCTGTGCTCGCTCCCTTTCATTCCTCTTTCCGTGAGGTCATTCCTCTCTTGGCCTGGAGGGGGCTCCAGGCCTCTGGACCACGTCACTCAACAGAATGTGACTCAGAGGCCCAGGAGGAAAATGCCTAAGTGCTAGCTGAAGGGACCTGTGTGTGCCCGCTCCCCACATTCGTTCAGGGCCAGAGTCGGGGCGCAGCACACACTCCTGGCCTGAGCCGAGCTCAGCTGTCAGGAGCGGATCCGTGACAGATGAGGGAACAGAGGCGCAAGAGCCGACTCAGTTTCCAGCCTGCCCCTCTCACATCTCTGGGCCCCACTATTTGCCACAAAAGCCCCGGGCTCTCCAGGAAATACTCCCCCAGCCAAAAGTCATGGAGCCGGTCTGTGATGGGAACAAGCCCACTTTTCGAGAAAGAGCTCTGGAGGACCACGCGTGCTTTGTCAGCCAGTGCCCTGCGCTGCTTGGCTGTCCCGGAGCACCTCCTAAAATACCACTGGACCTTGCTTGAGGGGTGCCCCTGCACCTCCTTCAAGAGATCTGGGGAGGGGGCGCTCTCGGTGGGAGGTCAGTGTGCCACAATCTCCAGGGGGGTGTGGGGTGGGGCTGAGAGGTTTTGTGCACTGCCCCCAGCCCAGCCCCAAACCCACAATAGGACCAAAGGATTCCAAACTTGTGGAAAACTGGAAGAAAAAAAAAGGGAGCAACAGAACAGAAGCGGGCCCATCACTGAGCTGCGGCCCCTCCCCTCTCCAGGCAGAAGCGGGAATCCTTGTCAGAGAAAAGACTCTAAGGAGGACATCTTTTCTAAGCTTGGCAGAACTGGGATGCCCAGTCTGACCAAGAACAGAGAGCCCTTCCTCCCAAAAGGGCCCTGGAATGTGCTCCCAGGCAGCTGTAGCCAAGGGGAACAATAGCCGTATTCATAGCCCTGCAGGGCTGGGCTGGGGGCAGGGAAAGGGAGCCACAGCCCAGGGTGAGCCAGTGGTATCAACTGGAAAAGGAACCTCGGGCCCAGCCACTGCTGGAGGCCACTAAGGGCTGGCGGAGGGGCCCTGGAGGAGGCACGGGGGAGGGGCCTCTTGAACCCACCAGCCCTGCTAGTTCTCCCTGGTCAGACCTGACAGACCAAAGTCCAAGCCAAACTCACTGGGTCGGTGGAATACTCCAACAGTCCCTTCAGAAACTAGGAGGCTGTAACGGAACACGCAGGGGTCTGGTTCGTGCCCCCAAACCCTGGAACCATCTGGAAAAGTCGGCTCCTCTGGCTTTTCCCCCCTTCTCCTCCTCCTGTTTCTCAGGAAGGGAGCCCGGCTGGCGCTGTGGACTAGGCCCTGGGCTGCTAGCTGCAAGGCTGGTGGTTCGAATTTGCCAGCTGCTCCTTGAGTGAAAGATGAGGCTGTCTGCTCCCATCAAGTTTTACAGTCTCAGAAACCCTATGTAGGGTGGATTCGATGACACAACTACTCCCTCATTCACACAGGAGGTGACCCTCCCTTACCGTCCGCCCCAGGGATCCTGGGCTTGTCAGGGAAAGGGCCAGAGGAGGAAGTTTCTCTACAGCCCCTCAACTCAGCACACTGCAGGTAACCTAGAGACTGTCCGGGGACATCGTGACAAGAGGAGCAAAGGAACCCCCAGGAGACCCCTAAGACCAAGGCCTCCAGGGGCCCCTCTACTAGCCAGTCTCCCCAGGGGATTGCTAGCCTGTCCTGTCCCAAGAGACCCTGACCACACCATGCAAACCCAGAAGCACTGCCCCGCCTACTGACCCGGTTTCTAAGGGCTGTCCCCTCCGGCCCTGCTGGGCCTTACCTGAGCTTATCGGCTACAAAAATGACCCGGCGCTCCAGCAGCAGCGAGGCGAAGATGCGGATGAGCTGGCGCACGCTGAGGCAGGTGAAGAGACACTCAAAGTCCACGTGCTCGAGGCGGGAGTCCATGGGCCGCCGCAGCTCCAACACCTACAGGAGGAGGCAAGTGGGTGCCACCTTGAGCTCCCTATGCCACCCTCTAACACCTGCAGGAGGGGAGGCAAGTGGTTCAACCCCTGGCTCCCTACGCCAGGCTGCTGGGAGTGGCTGATCCCTTCCCACCCACCCTTCTTTTCCAAGGCTCTGCATCTTCCCCATCAGGCAGCAAGGTCCAGTCTCATCTCCTTAGGCCAGAGCCCTGCCCCCAGAGCACTCAAACAGCAAGTCCGAATGCGCTCAGAGGGCTGACCGTGTGTGTGTGTGGGGGGGGGAAGCCCCTGAATGAACAAGTGGAGGGAAAGGGAGAGACAGAGCTCATTTCTCTTTGAGCACGGCTTTTCCCTGCAGCCTCCTCCTGCCCATCTCCCAGACAGGTGTCCTGGTGCCTGCTGACCAGAGCCCACGATCTAGCATCCATTGGTCTCCAGGCCATGGAGATGTTTCAGCCTGCCACCTTCGCCTCTCGCTCTACCAGCCCTCTCACCGTCCCGTGCCAGGGAAGGACTAGTGACTCCACATCCTCGCCGGGCAGCATGGCTCTCCTGAGGGCTGTGTCAAGGACAGTGCTACAGCACAGGGCAGGGGTGGGGGGTGAGGTGGGGGGCGGGAACAGTGATCCTGGCAGTTAGAAGTGGAGCAGGGGACAAACTGCTGAGGCTACTGGCAGCCAGCTGCCGGGCTCCTTCCCCAGCCAGCAGCATGTACGCTGCAGGCCTCCCAAGCCTGAGTGTGGGAGGCTCAGTCCCTCTCAGAGCCCTTTGCTAACTGAACAATCTTTTCCAGGGGCTTTGGCCCCACACCGTCTCATCTGGTCCCCAGTCCTAACTCCTTGCTCACCCCTCAGTCCACGGCCCCAGCAGAACGGGGGATGGGTACCAGTCGCTGTAGTCATCGGTTTCCACTCTCTCGCCCCACCCACCCCCACCCCACGGTGTGAACTCCCAGAAGGCTCAGGGATGGGTACATATGGCAAAGGCTGAAAGGACACCATACCACTATGACACCCGAGGGCTTTGCACCCTCTCCTGCCCCCCCAAGAAGTCAGCACAGTGATGGCAGCTCTCGCCCTGCATGCAGGGCTGCAGCTCCTCCTCCCTGCGGGGAAGAGCTGCAGCTCCCAGGTTGCATGTCAGGTCTTCCCTGCTCTCCACCCAAGAGGCTGGGGCTGATAGCACAGCCAGAAAGGCAGCAGGGGGTGGGGTGGAGAGGGTTCTTTGAGGCAAAAGCAGTGGGTTTAGGGTTCAGGGAGTGAGAGTCCCCCAGTCCTGAGCAACGCAAAGCCTAGAATGATACTGCACTACAGGGTGGGTCTGCTGTCCTGCCCCCCACCCCCTCAAGTTCCTCCGACTCTGGGTGAGTCCGGTGGGGTGGGGGGAGGAGGGACGCGAGAGGAAGACCTTAAATGGGCCTTTGCCACTGCCTGGCAAACTGACTTTTCCTAATCTGCCCCTTTTCTCCTCTCTGTAACAATAGCAACGTGTTTCCTCTCTTCTCCTGGGACCCCAGTTATGTTACCTCCCCTCCCCCTCAGGCGTGGCCTGTTTTGACAAAACAGAAGCCATCAGTTGGGGCTCCAGCATCTACCACCCTGCCCTTCGGTGACAGGGGAAGCATCCTTGTCCCTCAGCAAGTCAGTGCCTCCAGGGATCCCCCCAGGGCACCTGCTAGTGACACAGCTCCTCTGGAGGACCCCCCCC